TCTTTATGTCTTGTTGAATGTGGACCCGGATCTTCCCCGAGCTAGGGAACACTGGAAGGGCACTTTGTAGAAATCAAACAGCAGAAGAATATATATAGAGAGAGACAATGGACTAAGATGGAGCTGCGAGAAACTCCATTATGATTGCTAATTTAGGAAGGATAAAATAGCAGAGGACAGAGAAAGAGAAGTCAGAGAAGAAAGAAAATTAGTAAACTAGAATGTCATAAAAGTCAAGGGGAAAAAGGATATTAAAAAGAACACGGCATCATGCTGTGTAGCAAATCTAGTCAACCATGTCAAAAGCTGCTTATAGGTTAAACAAAATTGAGCACCAAAAATTATCACTTGCAGTGATAATGTTGCACTTAGCAACATGGCGCATGGAGGCTTGGTGCACCACACATAGCAAGAACTGTCTCATGGCACTAGTCTTTTATGATAGGTGCCTGCTGAAGAAGAAAGCCAGGGATATCAGGCTCTTGATAATAGATTTATTTATATATTTATTGGTCACAATTACTATTTTCTTTAGACATTAATATATTTTGTCTCTTGTGTTTGAAATAAAAAAAGAAAAACACACAGACAAATCAAAAACAGAAAACAAAAGCATACAACAAAAATAATGCTTGATTCCTACAGAATTCCTAACTGAAGTCACAAAGAATAGAATTCAGTGATTTTAATATAAGCTCTTTCTGAGTCCTTTCTCAGTTGATGGAGGCATGTTATCTTTGACTTTTGTTTTTATTTATCATCAATAAACTATTTTCATAAGCTATAATAAAACTTTAAAACAAAATTGAAAAATTTTAATATAAAAGTACATTTAGAGTCATGGTAGTAGAAAATTTTTTATTTTATTGAAATAATACTTCCTTCTAGTTAATTTTTATGAAAATGTTATTTTGCCTTTGGGTTAATTAACAGATCATTTGTAAAATTTATGCTATCCCTCAAATATGCTTTTACCATCTTATCTAATGGTTGTAAAATCATTTCTTGAGCTTTGGTTTAAATGATCATTGGTAGTNCATCTTATCTAATGGTTGTAAAATCATTTCTTGAGCTTTGGTTTAAATGATCATTGGTAGTGATTAATTTATTTTTTTCATGTCATTGTAAGGGGTTTTATTTTTATTCAGAAAATATCTAGTCAACAACCTCAATATGTAGTCATTTGTAATTTTAAAATAATGTTGAAGCTAATTTGTGATCTCATAATTTTCAAAGACTATATAGGCAACACCAAAATAGCAAAATTTTATTTTAGAACTTGGTCTTCTAAGATAACATTCAACTCTATCTAAACAAATTGCGAATTAATGTTTTCATATTGAAAAATATTTTAACTATTAGTTCTGTGTTTCTTAAAATGATGTGATTGTATAAACTCAACTCTACTTTGGCCACTAATTAATTAACTGTGTGATCTCAGGTGATCCATTCAGTATCTCTTGTCTCAATCTCTAAACCTATGAAAATGAGGCTTTAGCTAAAAGGACCTTAGAGTCACCTGTAAAATTTTAGGATGTTATTTTTTTTTATTATTAGTTGCATGTGATTTAATATTTTACATTATTGTCAAACTCCATTTATGTATATATTGATTATATGAAAAAGGTGCTTGAAAACCAAAGAGCCTGACTTTGAATGATAGATGTACATGTTGTGAGTTAGGTTACTTTCTGTCGAGATTACCTTTTTCAGGTCCATTTTATCTGATGGATGGGGGAGAATTTAGAGTGGGTCTTCATGATGCAATTGCTCCTTAGGGTAGGGGTAACAGGAGTCCACTTTTCTTCCCAGACACCTGCTGTTTCTTTCTCAACCTTACCACCACTTGCTAGAGGGACCAGAACAGTTGGCAGGGCAAACTTTGAAAACATTTGGCACAAGAAGTCACTGAGTCAGGATGTGAATGAGACCTCTGCCAGCTACCCTTTCAGTCCACAGCTCACATATAAGCACTTGACTTAAGTTGGAAAATCTGAGGTTTCAATAAGAGGTACCACTAGCAGGTGTGGCCAGTAACACTCTGTAAGCTAATCAAAAAAAATCTCCCTGACTTGGGCTGCCTCGATTCTACCTATGATGGTGTGAAAAAGAATCTAATTGATATCTGAGGGGAAAAAACACACAAAAAAACTTGCTATGAAAGGTATTGTGGAAAAT